TATATTATTTAGATAAAAGGTTATCGTTATCATAATAAACTTAATTTACACCTTTTGAAGAAAACAAAAGGCAATCAAGCGGAGAAAACAATTTTTACCGACAAAATTATCTTCACAAGCTGTACAGTCATATTTATATTTACCAGAAAACGTATAGTAGTGTATTATTAGGTAATGATGAGTGGCATAATTGATGTAACTGCTCGGAAATTGTTTCTAAATAAAATAGAAAATTTACAATGATTACATAATAGTCAATGACACAATAAAAGAAAGGGTTTGAAATTTGGTAAGATTCAGAAATTGTTATTGAATAAGAAGTAGGCTAGCTGAGCGTCCACTTGACAATTATGGAGATGGTGAGAAAAAGTTTAAAATGGAACATGTAAGAGTGATAAAAGTGAATCAATATCATCAGTCATTATTACTGTACAGTATTATGGGATTTATCAGAATAAAATCTCATCCATAATGGAGTGTGGAGTACGTAACAATATGATTGTACAATTTTCGTTAGATTTTGAAATTAGAGACATTGTACATGACTTTTGTTTAAAACGATTCATGTTTAAATACATTTAACTTCCGTGTACAAATGGAAATACAGTGTACTGCTGGCAGCTTCACCTTCTCACTGGTTATTACTGTCCACTTGCTCCACTCATACCGTGTTGTATACTTTGGATTTATTGCAGGAACCTATTATCCTTATCGGAAGACAACTCTACAACCGGAACACAGATTCTACCAGTAGACACGATTACAACAGTGAACGCTTCTGTGGATTATATTAATGATTTGTAGCAGTGGACTTTAACAGTATATCCAAGTAACCTTTTAATTAATATAGCTCATTACTGCACTTCTGATAATATATTGTTACACTATCATCTCATTGACTTGGATTTTTATTCGCATATTTGTTATGTTATTGAGCTTGCTAGACAGTCCCCTACAGGAGTTATACTCAACCACAATGCTCAAGTTTTATACTTATATCAATAATAGATATCGGATAATGTTCAGAAAGTGTCAGTTTCATGCGGCCAACAAAACTAGAGATACAAATTTGACAACCGTATGATTTTTAAATCAGTGTAGCGGTAAATAATTCCCCAAAATTATTAACCACAGCAATCATCACTCAACATTGGATGCTGACCATCACTGTTTAAGTCGACTTGTTTAGCTGAAGGCTTACGGCCAAGCATCCCCGCCATTTGGTGCTCCGTCGTGTCACGTGCGTGCACGATTACTAGCTAGCTAAGCATTCATTCCTACCCGCGATTTGGTCCCAAAATATATATATCGTATTTGGACGACAAAATCTGGTCTTTTGCTTTACCATTTGGTACTCGAAGAACGAACACTATAGAAGTTGTTGGTATAAGATCTTGCGTTAGTATAATCCGTACAACTCGCGAACGTCGATACCTACGACTGGCCCCCTAAACTGGTGAGCCCAACCACGAACTACATCTTCAATTCACACGCAGATAATCCCGGTGAGTTCGTTCCTCTTTGTGTTTATTCTTGTACTATGTTGTTATCGGCATACTTTTCGTCATGAGTGATCCTAGCCCCAAGGTTATTCAGATTCGCTCAGCCGCCAAAACAATCCAGCTAGTACCATATTGGCCCGATAATGCGGAAACGTGGTTTCAGATTGCTGAGTCTGATTTTTGTGAACATGGCATAACTGATCAACGTTCACAGTTCCTTGCAGTTATTCACGCTCTACCGCGGGAATTCAGCAGGTGCGTAACTCTGCAGATGTCGGTAAGTAACTCGTACGAGTTGCTCAAAGCATCCATCCTCAAGAGAAACGTTCTCACAGATCGACAACGTCTGGATGAGTTATTTCGAAACATCGAGTTAGGAGATCAGTCAGCCGTGAGCATGCTGGCAAGAATGAAAGAGATCATTGGCCAAAGTCAGTTCGATGAAGGACTGTTTAGAGAACTATTTTTATCCAAACTGCCACAGTCAGTTCAGAGTGTACTTGTGACACTTCAGGGTGTTCTCATAGATGACTTAGCTGTCTCTGCAGATAGAATTCTACAGATAACTAAACGGCCAGTTACCGAAGTATACTCAGTTACCGAACAGACTTCGAGTAAGGATTCTGCAATGATAGAGTTAATCAACTCCATCCAGCAGATGCTTAGGTCAAACAAGCCTGGCAATTCTTCCTATCGTCGTTCTAAATCCCCTCAACGGCTAAACGCACGTGGACGATCTAAGTCCAACACACGTTCTGTCAAAAATCCTGACTGGTGTTGGTATCACAACACCTATGGCAAGGAAGCGAAATGTTGTCGAAAACCTTGTGATTTCGGCAAAGTCTCCAAGTCTGTGGGAAACTATCCAGTCGGCACGCGTTAGCGGCAACCGTCGCCGGTAGCACTAGCCGCTTACTTTACATCCATGATGTAATTAGCCAGACTAGATATCTAGTCGACACAGGCGCCGAAGTCAGCGTCCTTCCTGCTACAGCAGCAGATCGACAGAAGGATCCTAACTTCAACCTACAGGCTGCAAATGGAAAACCAATTGCAACCTATGGTCGGAAATACGTCTATCTGAACGTAGGTTTACGCAAACCTATTCGGTGGATTTTTCTGATCACTGACGTCACAATGCCCATCATTGGCACGGACCTACTTAATCATCATGATTTGCTCGTAGACGTCCGCCGTAAACGACTACTTGACAACACTACTAGTTTGTCTATCAAAGGCATAACTTACAGTGGCCCCAGCTTGTCAATCGTTAAGATGAAAGCAATCCTCGATCCAACTTTTCAACCGATTGTTGACAAATATCCGGAACTGAATTGCCCATCTAACGACCTCCCGTGTATAACCAGCAATGTTATGCACCACATCATAACCTCAGGACAGCCCGTGACATCTAAAGCACGACGACTGGCCCCTGACAAACTGAGAATTGCCAGAAACGAATTCGATCATATGCTCACCCTTGGCATCATTCGGCCATCGAATAGTCCATGGGCATCCCCATTGCATATGGTACCGAAAAAGGATAGCAACGATTGGCGACCCACTGGTGATTACCGGCGAGTGAACGCCAAAACAACTCCTGATTGCTACCCTTTGCCTCACAT